TATAATATAATATATATATATACACACACACACACTCAAAATCAATTAGGTCTGAAAGCTAGGCAGAAGACTAAGGACTGGAATCCAGCTAGTCTAAAAATAAAAATCATCCATGATTTTTTAAAAAATTAAATTTCACTAGAAAAGCTTTCAAAAGCATTTTGCCTACCTGTGCTGGTTAATCAGAATTGTCAACTTGACTGCACTGCACTAAGATACTCCTGGAGAGGTGACTAGGTCATGAGGGCACCAACCTCATCAACAGATAAGTTCATGAGTTCCTAGCTGAATGGGCTACTAGGAGACGGAGCCTACTTGGAAGAAGCAGGTGATGGAGGTATGGCCCTGGGCTCCAATCCCAGGCTCTTTCCAACTTGCTCTACTTCCCAGCCACCATGAGTTGAGCAGCTTTCCTCCATCACACCTTCCCACCATAATGTATCTGCCTTGAGCCAACTGACCAAGGACTGAAACTTCTGAAACTAGGAGACACAATAAACCTCTCCTTCCTTAAGTTATGAGTGTCAGATAACATGACCCAACAATGGGAAAGCTGACCAATAAACTACCCAAATTAATTTTTTAAAAATTAAGAATGCCACTTTTCCCTCAACTCTTTATTACAATTTATATATTGAAACAGGCAAATAACCAGATATATGATAATGTGAATATTTCCACCAATATACTGGCAGAGTTTTGGGGGCATTAAAACACAAAAAAAGAGATGTGAGCTCCCTCCTGTGCCTGTGATTACAATTACAATCACAATAAAAGTAACGATGGACAAATACAGAATAATAGTCTTTATATTGCTATACTCTCCCAATATTATTTCACCCTAACTCCCCTTCAAAACTACCATAATCAGGGCTGGGGATTTAGCTCAGTGGTTCCGCTGCCTGCCTCCCAAGTGCAAGAACCCGAGTTCCATCCCTGGTACCAAAACAACAACAACAAAAAAAAAACTACCATAATCTACCTCACATCCATAATAGTGGATAGACATATCAAACGACTAAAATGATCTGTAAACAGTTATCCATAATAATTTTTAGAAGTTGAAACAAAATTAGCAAATATTACAGCTTAGATATGAAATTTCATGTCAAAAACAATGAGTTAAAACCAAACAATTACTCACTTTAAATGGATCTAATGTATTTATGTTTTGGGGTTTTTTTTGGTACCAGGGATTGAACTCACAACCTTGTGCTTGCAAGGCAGGAGAAGTGCCACTGAGCTAAATCCCGGCCCTCTAACGTACTATATGTAAATTATACCTCATTGAAGTTAATTAAAAATACTTTGAAGGTTAAAAAATTAGAAAAGTGTCAGAATTAGTATCAAAGAAACTAGTGATAAAGACCTTGGGAATCATCAATTAGGCTTCTGTTCAAGCTATGCCACTTACTATGTACTCTTAAGAAAATTACTTTATTCTGGCTCCCAGTTTTTTAATCTGTAAAGTGAATGACAGTAACTGTAGTAATAACAACAAAAATGATAGTAATTATTTAATATTATGTACAAGACACTTAAGTGTTTTACATAATGATTTAATTCTCTCAACAATTTATGGGTATGGGCTTTCATCAATCATTCTTTTCAATAAATAAACAAAAGCTTCAGAAGTTTAAATAATGTCATAAAGTTAGTAAACAGAACAGTAAGGGTTGGAACTCAGGTGGCCAAATTCCAGAGTCATATGCTACATACTACCTTCCAAGATGCTATGAGGATTAAATGATACAATGTATCTAAAGTGGTTACAATAGAAGTTGATGCATACATGCTCAATGTTATTACAATTATTATTATCCAAATTCTTTTTCCCATCTCTCTAAACAGAATGTTTCAAATTCAGTGTTTGCATGCCCTGTTGTGAATAATTTGACCAAGCAAAAAAGTTTTTCTTTTAAATACAGTATTCAGAGAAAAGGTATATTTGACAAGAAATTTCTGTTGCTTCCTTGTCAAAACTTTTTGTGGTCAAAGCACTTAAAAATTCAAATTTAGGGCCTGGGATTTAGCTCTGTGGTTCTGGCGCCTGCCTTGCAAGCGCAAGGTCCCGAGTTCGATCCCTGGTACCAAAAATTTTTTAAAAATCCAAAATTCAAATTTAACACACATAATTCATGGTTTATTTTGTTAATGTATAATAATAAAATCCTTCTAACTTTACATGTAGAAAGAAAACCTACATTCTAGAATTGATCATAGCAAATGTCTAACATACATAATAAATATCAATTTCTTACTGAAGGGTATTATCTATATATTTCTCTAATGATGTTATTGATGTTAGCTTACCCGTCTGGTAAATCATTATCAAACAAACGACTGCAGTCCACAACTTGTCCTCCTGTGCCTATTCGGTCTCTGGACTGAAGACTTACTGTTAAACAACAGAAACATCATTAAGATTCACAGAACTAGAAAGAAGTATTACAATCTAAAATATCTATCTTCAGAAGATATCTGGCTTATTTTGATAGTTAAGAATGAATCCTTGGTTTCTAATAAAATTTGTAAATTTTTTCCCATAGATTATTTTTCTTTAGGAGTGATACCAGAATCTTGGTTTTTTACAATTTATCATGTTCACAGAATGAAGTCTACTTTCTTTTTTCACCCTCATAATAGGGCAATGCATGGTTGCTATTGCGTTCAAGAAGCGGCATTAACATATTAAAAGTATATTCATCTGGGGCCTGGGATTTAGCTCAGTGGTGCCACTGTCTGCCTCGAAAACGCGCAAGGTCCTGAGTTCGAGCCCTGGTACAAAAAAAAAGAGTATATTTAGCTATAAAGGAGTTTGAAAAGTTTACATTAATTTTCCTTTTCTTTCATTTTTTTATTTTTATTACTACCTGTTTGCAGTACATAATGACTACATTCTTCATGGGGAGTTGGTACATGTACATAACACATCTTTTTTCTTCTCCTTCCTCTCCATCTCTTTGTCCCCTTCCATCTGCATAAGATCTATCTCCCTATTCCTATTATCTATCTTTTATTTTGCTCTTTATTTATATTTTGGTTTTCTCATATAATAGAAACCATATGATATTTAAACTTGTGTGTCTAATTTATTTTACTTAACATTATATGGTCTCAATGTTCATCCATTTTCCTACAAACGACTCAAAAAATATGGAGTGCTTCACAAATTTGCAAGTCATCTTGCACAAGGGTCATGCTAATCTTGTCTGTATCATTCCAATTTCAGCATATTTGCTGCTGAAGTGAGCACCACTTTTAATTCTTGATAATCTCATTATTTTTAAAAAATACATTGGATCCTGGCAATAGGGTAATCCTTGGATTCCATAAATTTTAAGAGTAGTATAAGATTACCATTATAAATTCGGTGACAGGAGATACAAACTCTATAGAGTTGACTCTTCTAATTAGATTAGCAATCTAATATTGAAGAAAACACTTAACATACTTAACGCTGACAATCCCAACTGAATAATGAGGAAGCGAGGTTTAAATGATATGCCTCAAATCCTTCCTTGTTGCTCTGGTAGTCCTTAATTCAAATTTTTTTTTTTTTGTACCGGGGATCAAACTCGGGTCCTTGCGCTTAGGCAGCGGGCAGTGAAACCACTGAGCTAAATTGCCAGCCCCCTTAATTCAATTTTTGGCAACTCTCCCAAAAGATAGAAGAGGTATAGCTAAATGCCAAAATCGACTATAGTTTTTTTCCTCCCAGCACTGGGAATTGAATCTAACGCCTTTGCACTGAGCTACATTCCCAGCCTTTTTCCTTTTTTATTTTGAGACAGAGCCTCACTAAATTCCAAGGCTGGGCTTGATGTTGAAATCCAGAGTGCAGGGATTACAGGCATGTACCACTACTATCCTAACTTCTTAAAGAATTACTAAATTACCACATAAAAAGTATGCTGTAAAGTATGACATCTGAGGATCTTTCATTACAAGATGGGTCTCGGGCTAGGGATTTAGCTCAGTGGTTCCACCGCCTGCCTCGAAAGCACAAGGACCCGAGTTCGATCCCCAGTACCAAAAACAAAACAAAACAAAGACGGGTCTCCTAACTCTGCTTGGTAAAAATCTGAAAAATCAGCAAGTTCACAGATTTCTTATATATTAAGTTTCATTTATAGGCGAGAACACTGTAACACACCTCGGTGAATGTAAACATGTTTTCAGAAAACTATTTCAAAAATAAGTTTTCATATAAAAAAAAGGAAAATGTTTACTGAAATAGAATCGCAGTGACATTATTTTCTCATTAGCTTTGTTTAGAATAGTATATTAAGGTTCAAAGCTAAAGAATTTCATGGGTTTCAGTTTATAACTCCAGAATGTTGTATTGTAAAACACCTAAGCAATTTGGGGGTGTTTTTAAATGATCTAATTCTAGTTTATAAAATGAACTGTAGAGGGCTGGGGATTTAGCTCAGTGGTTCTGCTGCCTGCCTCACAAGCGCAAGGTCCCGAGTTCGATCCCCAGTACAAAAAAAAAAAAAGCGGCCCCCCGCAAAGAATGAACTGTAGAAATATGTTTACCAGAGCCACTGTTCATAATATTTAAAAATTAGAAACTGAATATCCAACAATAAAGTACTGGTGAAATTAATTATATGACAATCATACACTAACATACATTAAAAATGCTATAAAAATATATCCCTCACAAAAAAGAGAAATGACAGATTAAAACAGGCTATTAATATTTTGTATAGTAAATATAATTTTAAAAAAATACATAGCAAAGGTATACATGGAGAGGATTTTGATGATATATTCTGAGTACTCTTTAGGTTCTCTGTCTACAATTAGACTTTATAAAAGCAAACAATATAAGAAAAACTTCACAATGGCAGAAAGAGCTCAATAATAATTTTAAATACAAGGGAAGAGTTTATATTCCTTGACCCAATCATTGCAATTTGGAAAAAATATTTTTAAATTAACAATTCTTTAAAAAGATAAAGCAAAATACATAAAAATGCTTTTAAGTTTCAATGTTGTAAAAACAAAACTAAAAGTTCAATGATTAAATTATAACATATAATTCATCATTATCAAATCATTGTAAGTGAAAGAAAGCAAAATAAAAATTTTATTTTCACTATAATCAAAATCATAGAAACATAGGGCCAGGGATTTAGCTCAGTGGTTTCGCCGCCTGCTGCATAAGCGCAAGGACCCAAGTTCGATCCCTGGTAGCAAAAACAAAACAAAACAAAATCATAGAAATATATATGTATACAGAAACATTAGAAAGTGGTATTTCTTAGTGTGTTAATGTTTTCTTCCATTTCCCAAAAAGACGTTTTACATCTACTTACTTACAAAAGCCCAATTCTACAAGAGCTGAACTGTCTTGGAATGACAAGACTACATGACAGGATTTAAGTGTAGCCTCCCTCTCTCTTATTAATGATCCTATTATGAGTTCCATATTCACACAAGAAGGTGGCTATTCTGCCAGTTACCCAATTATGAATCCAATTCATTGCCTTGTAAGAAATGCAGTTCTGGGCTGGAGATTTAGCTCAGTGGTTCTGCTGCCTGCCTCGCAAGTGCAAGGACCTGAGTTTGATCCCAGGTACAAAAAAAAAAAAAAAATACAGTTCTTCAGTACATTTGGGAACTGAAACTTCTTTCAGAGATTCATAATTAAATCATTTTAGTCTAAATTCTCCCCTATCACAAGGTAATAAGATTCCAATTGAATTTTTTTCTTTAAGAAGCCTCCATGGTGCCTTCTGTGTCCTACCACACTATGCATCACAATCAAATCTCAATCCATCAATTTTTAAGAAAAGTCTCAAGAAATTTCATACCAAGCCCTTTGCTCTATGTCAATTCAAGATAGTCTATTATCCCATTCCACTTAGTGCTATATAAGTAGGCTAACAATTTCTCCCTTTTTCCACATTAAGTCTTACACTACCATTGCTCATTCTTTTTTCAATTAGCACAGATTTTTTTAAGACTGTAAGACACTAAACATTAAACAAAAGGTTCAACAGAATATTCTTACTCAAAAACTAGTTTGAGGATTATCTTCAGGAAACTTTAATACCATCTACAAAATCTTAGTGCTGAACTGTATTTGAATACTTTGAAAGGAAACAGTTCTTTACTTGGAGCTTTTTTTTTTTAATTAAGGGTTTTTTTAATTAAGTTAATTTATATCCTAAATCCACTGTTTCCACTGTTTATAGCATCTTACTTGACTCATATTTAATTTATGCCAATACAATGCAGCTATAGTTGTTATATTTTGATTTAAAAGGTACCTAAATTGTAGATCAGTCTGAATGAGGCCAAAATTCACATTTTAAATTCCACACTTACCTACTATCTGTCCTCTAACTGTATCATTGTCATTTGGCCCAAGTTTGCATAGATCCAACCTCTGATCTATTTCAAATCAACAACAACAAAACAAAAAAATGAAAAAATTAGCTGGTATCAGAAATTCTAACATTGATTAGTAAAAGTAAATTCCCATTATATATTAGAAACCAAATCTATAAAGAATCACAAAACAAATGTTTAAAATTTTCTAACCTCATATAAATTAGCCTTTAACTGTCAACAAGTTTTGATAAATTCAGATTTCAAACACTATGCAACATTGCGGTGTGTTATATTGCCAACAGGCAGTTACTATCTCTCCAAAGATTTCAGACCACTGCAGTCTAAGTCATGCCTTGCCTCCTAATAACTGTTGGTCTTAAGCAATTTATACCTCAGCCTTGGTTCTATCACTTGTAACCTAGAACCTACCCTGCATTTTTCAAGGATTAAATCAAATAATACTGTAACATAAAACTCTCAGCACAGTGCCTGCCACCATATAAGTGTTCAGTTAATGTTAGTTCTTGTCATTCTTATTACTTTTATCTAATCATTCCAAACCTCCCCCCACACACACACACAATAAATCTTAAGAAAAAACTGAGATCCAGATTTAACTCTTCCATTAATCGTTTAGGGGAAACTTTTTTTTTTTTTGGTGGTATTGGAAATTGAACCCAGGACCTCGTGCATGCTAAGCAACTACTCTACCACTGAGCTACATCCCCAACCCTATTTATTTAGAGACAAAAGCTCGCTAAATTGTGTGGGCTGGCCTTGAACTTTCAATCCTCCTGCTTCAGCCTCCCAAGCAGCTGAGATTACAGCCATGTGCCACCATACCTGGCACAACTCATTTATTCTTTCAGATACTTCATCTGTAAAGTAAACATAACACTGGCCTCGCCCTCAAAGTTATAGTTAGGAATAATGTCACCTACAGCATGTTGGTTCTGCTTAGCTGAATTTTTTACAGGTGTATCCCACCTGTCTTAAATAATTATGAATTGATAAAACAAGGAGAACATCTTAGTCTTTGTATTCTCCACTTTAATCTGGCAGAACACTGCATCAGGTGCTCAATAAATATTTGATCAATATTACTAAACATCAAAAAGGTCAAGTAAATTATGCCAAGGAAACAGTCACATGTAGTAGAAAAAAAAATCTGTGTTCCCAGACTATATTCCTGACCAAACAGCTAAAACTACAGACATTTTCCCCTTTGCAAAATAAATGGATGCTACTGAGTTAGTTATACAGGGGAATTTCTGCAAAGCATGCTCTTCATCTGCTATCAGTTCCTCCAATTTGGCATGCTCCTTCTGCTAGAAGGCTTTTGTCCTTGGTTCTCAGACAAGAGGACCCTGTCATTTTTGTTTTTGTGTCACCAGGGTTTAGAATAGTACCTGACATGTTAAGAGTTCAATAAATGTTGGGTAAACCAGCCCAAGAACACTGTAACATCAGACATTTCATCTATGAATTCTAAGTTTACCTGCTGGCTTGAGTAATAAAACAGTATGGTTAAAAAAAAAACCAGTATGGTTTACATGCAGATTTTTTCCAATCCCAACATCCTTCTCCTGTTGGTCATCACTCTATCAACTCAGAAATACAAAAATTTCTCAGCTGGGTTTAAATTTGTCTGATTCAGAACTTCTAGCTCAGTTCTCTCCCTTTTATGTAGCAGGTCAATGTCTATGTATCTGGGCTGTGGTATCATACCACATTAAAAGGGACTGTCTCAATATATCTAGCATTTGGGCCAGGAATTTAGCTCAGTGGTTCCGGAGCCTGCCTTGCAAGCGCAAGGCCCCAAGTTCAAGCCCTGGTACCAAAAAAAA